GCATAGGTGTGGCTAAGGTTGAATGTACCTCGGCTACATAGGTGTGGCTAAGGTTGAGTAGAACTGGGCTGCATAGGGTTGAGTTGACTTGGGCTACATAGGTGTGGCTAAGGTTGAGTAGAACTGGGCTGCATAGGGTTGAGTTGACTTGGGCTACATAGGTGTGGCTAAAGTTGATTTGACCTGGACTACATAGGTGTGGCTAAGGTTGAGTGGACCTGGGGCACATGCATGTACATGTAGGTGTGAATAAGCTTGAGTGGATCTGGGTCACATTTGTCACTAATGCTGAGTGTAACTGGGCTGCATAGGTGTGGCTAAGGTTGAATATACCTGGGCTACATAGGTGTGGCTAAAGTTGAGTGGAACTGGGCTGCATAAGTGTGGTTAAAGTTGAGTTGACTTGGGCTACATAGGTGTGGCTAAAGTTGAGTGGACCTGGGCTGCATAAGTATGGCTAAGGTTGAGTGGAACTGGGCTCCATAAGTGTGGTTAAAGTTGAGTTGACCTGGGATGCATAGGTGTGGCTAGGCTTGAGTGGACCTGGGCTGCATAGGTGTGGCTCAAGTTGAGTTAACCTGACCTACATAGGTGTGGCTAAGGTTGAGTTGACCATGGCTGCATAGGTGTGGCTAAGGTTGAGTTGACCTCGGCTGCATAGGTTGAGTGGACCTGGGCTACAAAGGTGTAGCTAAGGTTGAGTGGACCTTGGCTGCATAGGTGTGGCTAAGTTGAGTTGACCTGGGCTGCATAGGTTGAGTGGACCTGGGCTACAAAGGTGTGGCTAAAGGTTGAGTGGACCTGGGGCACATACATGTACATGTAGTGTGAATAAGCTTGAGTGGATCTGGGTCACATTTGTCACTAATGCTGAGTGTAACTGGGCTGCATAGCTGTGGCTAAGGTTGAGTGGACCTGGGCTACATAGGTGTGGCTAAGTTTGAGTGAACCTGGGCTGCACAGGTTGAGTGGAACTGGGCCACATAGGTGTGGCTAAGGTTGAGTGGAACTGGGCTGCATAAGTGTGGTTAAAGTTGAGTTGACTTGGGCTACATAGGTGTGGCTAAAATTGAGTGGACCTGGGCTGCACAGGTGTAGCTAAGGTTGAGTTGACCTAGGCTGCATAGGTGTAGCTAAGGTTGAGTTGAGCTGGGCTGCATAGGTGTGGCTAAGGTTGAGTTGACCTTGGCTACATAGGTGTGGCTAAAGTTGAGTTGACCTGGGCTGCATAGGTTGAGCGGACCTGGGCTACAAAGGTGTGAATAAGCTTGAGTGGATCTGGATGACATTTGTCACTAATGTTGAGTGGACCTGGGCTGCATATGTGCAGTTAAGATTTAGTAGACCTAGAATGGCTGCTGTGCCAGTCCTGCTCTTCTGAGCGCCTAAGAATATTTAAATCTGCAGCTTCAACAGACACTTATACTGGGAAAGAAGGCAAAGTGGACCTGCCACATGGTCACCCACAATCCCTTCAACAGCTGCTCTTAAGTCAGATCCTACCCCACGATTCAGAGTGTCTTCCTTTTTGATGTCGACAGCTTTTCAAACAGCCACATCATTTGGGTGCATTAGCCATTTTAATTAAATTATTCAATACTTGATAGGTAAATATCGTTGTAATCAATAATTTTTCAACAACATAAATAACACATCAGGCACTTATCACATGAAAGTAAATTTATGCAACCCCAAATAATCAAAATTATTGAAACTTTTCACTATGGTCAAAAAACATGTTATAAAACATTTTGGAAATATATGTACCATGTAATCGTGCTATACTTGTAATTGTCATTTTCTAATGAAGTAGGAAGCAGATAACAGTGCAGTAACCTGATATCACTGCATGCTGTAACTATGGAGACAGATAACAGCAGTATATAATGATGTGATTTATTTGTCTATTTGGAAACATGATTCAAAGTACTACACAAAGTCAAGAGTTTGTAATCAAATTAACTCCTATAATGTGTGCATTTTTGTGCAGTTCACTCCAGGAATTGAACCCCCAATCTTCCTGAAGCGAGACAACCATTCTAACAAATGTACCATTGCTCAGGTTTCATAAAGATTATTTACATTAACTTACTATTTTTTTAAATTGACACCAATTATTAATATTTATAAAATTATTTACATAAAAAAATCTGATTTAGTATTAAAGAGACATGAGCTGATTTTCTCAAAATTTTTTTCTTATTTTTTAATTCACATAATTCTGATTCTAAATTACCTTTGTGGTATCAAATTAGTGATATGTCATGTGACATGTCATGTCACATATTTATGATTATAGCTATAAAATCCATATTTTAATCAACCAAAACTTCATTTTCATGTTGTTCATTTGCTTTTGCGCCTAACATGAACATATCTGAGTTCATTCGGTCTCATCACGGCAATTTTGACTCAGTATTACTAGGATTACATTTTTTTTAAATTGATAAAAAATTGGTTGGTGGTCGGTGCACAGTGTGTTCCCAATTTTGTGTAAACAATGTTTTTTACAAACATTGTACATAGCAAACACAAAATGTTATGATGATCACCGCCTTTAACCTTTTCACCACCAGTCTTTCTCGCCCCAAATTTGTTCGCACTTTTCTTCTTATATTCTTCAATATTTCTGGAAATGAACCCTAATTTTGGAGCCAATAGAAAATTTGAGTCAACTTCGACTTTTTACTCAAAAAATTTGGCTATTTCTATCCCAATCTTTTAAAAAAAAAGTGCAGACTATAAACAGGACTATTTTGTGAATTCAGGATGAAAAGAGGGAACTGGTGGTGAAAAGGTTACTGAAACTCATCTATAAGAAACATGATTTATAATGAGATTTATAAAAATACAAAATTAATAATCAAATACTGATTAATATCAAATCAAGCATATTCAAAAGAAACAAATTTTCTGGTTCTTGGGTTGCTTAGCTACTATGGGAAAGTGAAATGGTGACTGATATACTTCCGATCAGTAGGAAATATGCATTATAAAGAAGATATATTACCAAATTAGTTTCAGTTTTGCACTGAAAATATATTTTTCATTTGTGCAAAGAAAATGAATGAATAAAGCTGGACAAAACATAACATCTTGAAATTCGTACGTATATTTTATAAATCGCTGCTAAAAAACAGACAAGGTTGTATATTCAAATTGTAAAAAACTGAAGAAAAACAAGAATACTGTAAAAAAATTTCTCTTGGAATTAACTTTCACTATTTTCGCTGAAGGAATGATTCAGTGAAAATAAAATCCAGCAAATATAATTTTTTGTATATTTTACATTCAACTCATCAAAAATCAGTGAAATCAAAATCCATACAAAACATCCAAAAAGTTTTTTCAGCGAAAATTAATTCCAGCAAAAATAAAGTATTTCACAGTACATTTACATGTTATAAAATCGACCTCTCCTTTCTGTCTTTGGGGCATACACAGTAACAAAGCAACCAGGGAAACTTAAACTCGTCTATTTATTACTGCTCAATGAAAGTGTTGATAGAGTGTAGTGCTATTTATACATTTTAATTATAGTGACAAATATTGCAAACTCACAATGGCTTGTGACATAAATCAGTCATATATCAAAAGCACGTGTTTCCTCTTTTAGCTTAACCTGCAGTTCTCTTCAATTATTATTTTATTTTATTTTATTTTTATTATTTATTTTAGAGTGGAATGACTAGAAAACGGTAAATAGCATGGACAGGATTACAAAATTCGGGTTAGGGTTAGTTTAAATTTTGCAAGTTTTCTAGACCTAGTTTGGAGGTTTTCTTTTCTGGCAGTTACACTCTACGATTTTCAGGGTCTATTAAACGTTTGACACTTTTGAATCCCAACACCTGCTGCAACATTAGGCATATTTGTATGCATTTTTCGAAAATTACTTCGTTAATTTTTGACCAAATGGTCATAATTTCATAGAATTTTTGTGCAAAAATTGTGCAAGTTTATTTTGTAAATAGCAAAAAGTTGACTTTGGCATTTTGGTCCAGCTAGTCAAAAAAACTCTAAGTTTTGACAAAAACTTCTGCAAAAATATGAAAAAGGTTTATTTTGTAAATGTTGACAAAATTTGACTTTAGCCTTCAAAGTGTGTACATTTAATTATCTCAATAACAGCAGCATCAGGCACTTAGAAATGAAACAATTAACGAGTGACAGTTTTTGAGAAAATGGCAAAGTTGCACAGGGTTAAATTTGTTTAAAGGGAGGAAGATCAAAAACAATCAACAATCAAAAAACTGTTCTTAATTATCATTTAGGTATGTGGTTATGCTTAATATTTTTTTCATGTAATTTACGACAAAAAAGATAAAATAAATGTGTTGACTCAAATTTTGGTTTTAGGAGAGAAATAATCAAAGTTAAAATACACTACCATATTTACTCTATTAGCAACGCATGTGCCTACATTAGAGGTTTGTCTATGATCAAAAAATGTCATACTTTAATAATAAAGTATAAATTGCACTTCACATAGAGTAAATACAATACGGTAATCTGCATCTTCCAAATTAGAACTTTGCAACAATTTACTTTAAATTTACATAATTATTACCGTAAAATCTGTATTAGAAGCCCTGTTGCACCAATTCTTTTAGAATAATTGAGAACCAAAAATTCATCATTTCACATATGTGTAGATGCTCTAATAGAAGCCGCATATCCTCTATTGCATTGTACCATTTTAATAGAAGCTGCGATTTCTAATACAGATTTTACAGTACCTTTTACAGTACAGTAGTAAAAATGTATAAACTCAGATAAACCAAGCGTGATGAGAACTAACAAACACAAAGGCATTATTGAATTCTGTAGGTGTATATTTGCAAATATATAGTACCCTGTAATTTCTTGATATTATGCCAATGGCGTGATAAAGCCCTCATTATTTATTCATGGTGGCAGTATTTGCTAAAATGACTCTCTTATTAATTGAATGTATCTAAACTTCAGTATGAGTGTACTTTATTACTGACCATGAAAAAAATACCTTAACAAACATTGTGGGATATCGTATTTTTGATATGGTGGCTGTTGCTGGGCAATGCTGCAAGCAACCCAGGATTCAGATAGCTATGAATGCATGACAAATTACATATTTGTTTGTCAACAATGATTGTTTTTTTTCTTTTTACACCAAAATCGTGCACGTTTTAGGTAAATTTACCAGAAGCTGATTATTCAGATCAAATTTCCATTTGCAAATATATTTTTGGGATCTATATAGTTCTTGATAGCTCTGAGAGATCCCATACCCACTTCTGATATCGTTTCTGGAAGCCACTTCTTACGTATTTTTCCAACTAAGCAAAAAAAAAAAAAAATTATTTGTAATTAGAAAATATAAATACATGCATAACTTGACCTCATGAAAATGTCCTTGGACTCCCTAGCTTAGCATAAAATATTTACCAGTCCCCTTAACTTGACCTCATATGCACATCCTTTGGATTCACAAGCTTAGGCTAAAACTTTTATAAGACTCTTTAACTTATGAACATACATTAGACTCCCCAGCTTAACATCAAATCAATCTCCTTTGAACTCCTTAATGTAACCACATACGCTAGGTTAGTCCTATAACTGAATACCTAATGTCAATATACATACCTCCGTGATGATGTGAAATACTGCCACCACAAGACAGGATCTCATCACGTGCTGCTGCCTGAAATAGAAATGATAAGTAAAGTCAGAAGATGTGTAATCATGGCTGAGTGAGTG